ATTTGGGGAAACTCTAATCCCGACTTGATGACCTTAACCCCTACCCAGCCCTAACCCTAACCATAATAACCAAACTACATTCATTTTTAGTTTTTTGATTGCATTCATAGATCTTTGTCGGTACCTGAAAAATGATCCCCACAACATCAAGAAACAGGTTTTTATTACATTGTGGGGGACATTTGGTCCCCATAACATAATACAAACATAACCCACACATGCACACACACACACACACACTCACACATAAACACATACTTGCAGTTGATTCAGGACTATAACAGTAGTACTTCTAATCCATGCTCTTCTCTGGATGTGGCCACAAATCCTCATCTACATCACATCTGATGTCCTAGCGGTACATCTAGGGTATCAGCTCTTGGAAATATACCTGGCTAGGAAATCACCTGGGATGGATACCTGCTGTATTTGGTCTCTTTTTCATTTTATTTATTTCATATCATGTCGGTTTTACAATATTTTGGAAGGGTCTTGATAGTACTGTAGAAAATAGTGGTCATACAGTTTTGCATTTATGATTAGCAGCTTTGGGACCAGTATCTAAGCATGTGTAAAATTGCCTCTAAAAAACGTAAAGTTTTGATGGTGGTGGATTTTGAGCGAGAAAGGAATCTGTGAATTTTGAAGCATTTAGTCATTGAATGTATTTTGTATGGAAGCGATGAGAAATGATTCACAGTTTAGCCCACATAAGCTAATGTTATGGCAACTGTGCGAAGAGTTTTGTTAAAGTGACTTCAGTATTGCAGAATCTATCATAGCAATTGAAAAAATCTGTGTTACTGGTATAAATATGTATTTTGTTCTATTTGTATTTGGTAATATTATCCATCACTTATGCCTTTCAAGGTTGGGGAGGGACAAGAAGGTGTCGGACATAAGGCTGGGCTACACTCTGGACATGATGCCAGTCCATCCCCCACCCCACACACCCATGGGCGATATAGAGACCCAATCAGTCTCACTGTCATGTCTTTGGGCTGCCAGAGAAAGTCTGCATGACACATGGAGGACATGCCACCTAGAAACACATAGCGGAGGTGGGACTCAGACCCCCAGGTTGCTCAGTATGAGGCTGCTGTGCCCCTTGGTAATGTTAAGCTAGAGGCATATTTGATGTTAATTTATAGATCTAAATTCATACTGTCTGGCCATTTCAGAATAAAATATGAGAAAATGTTATCGTTAATGATAATTTCCAATACCAGACACAAAATATTCCAGCGTTATAATCTAGCTAAATCAAAGGTGTTATAAGATTAAGGGCTTCAAGAACATGCTGCAGTATTTTGGGACGCTTGGCGTAAAAATTTTCTGAAGAAACCTCTGCTTCTTCCACTAGAGGTCAGTGTAAACCATGCTGCCGTTTCTGTACAATGTACAAATTTGGGCACCTCAGTGTATGTTCAAATACACTCACTGACAAACAAAGATAAGCACCCAGACGTAATGGTCCGATTTCGATGTGCATGTGCAGACGAGCGATGGGTATGTAAGTGATTCGATTTGCAAGGAGCTGGCATGTCTAGTCACCGGACACAGAGGATGCCTCGTAGAAGCATTAGACAGCACTTGATGGAGTTTGACAGGTATCGCATTGTGGTTTTGCATGAGGCTGGGTGGTCATATTGTGCAATTGCCCGGCATGTGGGGCATGCAGATGTCACAGTCGCCCGATGTTGGAACCAATGGACACATGAAGGCACCCACACATATCGTAAAGGTTCCGGTCACCCAAGACAGACCACACCAAGGGAGGATCGTCATATTGTGCACTAAGCATTACAGAACCCCATGACATCTACGCCTGCCACAGGTATTGGACTCTCTACAACACCCCATATCATCCTGCACCGTGTTTCTATGACTGGCATCAGCCTGACTGCGGGTTCACCGTCCCATGCGTAGGCTGCTGTTAATACCAGTACACAGACGGCTGCGTTTGGAGTGGTGCTGTAACCGGGAGGCCTGGAATGATGACGAGTGCCGTCGTACCATGTTCAGCGATGAATCTCGGTTCTGTGTTACCATGGGTGACCGTCGTGTGTGTGTATGGCGGCGTTGAGGGGAGAGGACCAATCCTATCAATGTTGTGGAGAGACACACCGGTGTAACTCCTGGCATCATGGTGTGGGGAGCCATAGGGTATGACATCATGGTGTGGGGAGCCATAGGGTATGACATCATGGTGTGGGGAGCCATAGGGTGTGACATCATGGTGTGGGGAGCCATAGGGTATGACTTCAGGTCATCTCTGGTAGTAATTTGGGGGTCCCTGATGGCACAGCGCTGCATCAGTGACATCCTGCATCTGCATGTCTTACCTTTCCTGAGACAGCACCCTGGTACAGTCTTTCAGTGAGACAATGCCCGTCCACACATGGCACGTGTGTCTATGGACTGCCTGCGTCATGTTGAGGTCCTCCTGTGCCCAGCCAGGTCCCCCGATCTTTCTCCAATCGAACAAGTGTGGGATCAACTCAGACCCAGTGCTAATCTTGAGGGCCAGTTAAAACAGCTGTGGGCCGACTTGCCGCAGGAGAGGATACAATGGCTGTACGACTCCCTTCTGCACCATATCATCACATGTATCCAGGCCTGGGGGGGGGGAGGTGCCACACCCTACTGACATGGGACCAGCAGTGTGCCCATACTGCTAACTGTGTTGTCCGTTTGATCTGATACTATAATCATTGTGATAATCACATGACCTTTCACCACGTGCAGATTTATTTCATTTCCACCACTCTGGCAGTCTGGGTACTTAACTTCTTTTTGTCACTGAGTGTATTATGGCATAAACTCTTGTAAAATTCAATAAAAAATGGAACTGGGGACATTCAAGATGTAAACAGGTTGTCAGTCAGATAAACTGCTGTGATGACAGGGATGTTGGGCCTTTGTGTCTTCTGCATGTGTCCAGCATTTTTGTCGCTTACACCTGTGTCAAAATGCATCTTCATGGAGCCACGTTATATTGTGTAGCCACGCAGTAGGAAGCAAAGTTCACATGAGAGCAAAGTGTCTTGTCACAGAATTGTTATTGGTTATACTTCAGAATCATTCCTGGCTGCTGTTTCCTGTTTTCTCTCTGAAAAAGGCTGCATCCAAGAAAATGTGAATAAATAAATATTTAGATCTGAATAATCTTTTTGTTTATTGCTCTCTTCTCAGGTGCTTGTTGTGGCAGCACAGACTTCCTATTCCCTCAGCTGGCAGGTCTACATTAGAACAGCACTTTTTCACAGATTGAACTGTTTACTTGCAAGGCTCATGTTATGCAGCCTCTCCCAAGCTCACAAGCTTGTGTCACGAAAGAATTTGTCATATTTCCTCTGAGTGGAACGACTGCAGCATTTCGGTTGTGGGGGTGGCTCTGGCAGCTCGTGATCCTTCACTTACTCCTCCAGAAAAGTCCTTGTAGTTACCTTGTAATTTCACTATAAACACCATCAATTGCCTTCAGATCAGCATTACATAATCGTCACCAGGAAACACTTAAACTTATTTAGAAGATTCTTTTATCCAAAGCAACATACAGCTGAGAAAGCAGAGTCAGCCAGTCCCTGCAGCGATTGCGTTAAGGAACTTGCTTGTGGGCTTAACGGTGACATCACTCTAGTGATCACAGGATTTGGCCTTTTGATCACAGACACAGCACCCAAACCCACAGTTACACGCCTGGGTCTTTAAATTGATTGCATTTCATGCAATAAGGATTTTTCCCTCAGTTCAGTTTTCTTTCACTGTGATACACAAACCAAGATGCAGGACTTATTTCTATATTCGGGGTTTGTCTGCCACAGCAATCAACATGCTGCCATACCACATAAATAACAGTAGGGGGCGCCATATTAGAGCTGAAGGATTCCCAGCTGCCATCTTGTAATGTGCCACTGTATGTACACGTAAAGAGACAAAATCATGTGAACGTATGACAGTACGATTCTTGGTATGACTGGCAGTTCAGCTCCCAAGGACCTGAGCGGTGAAGAGTTGCATGTCGCTTACCTGGAGCTAAGTATAGCTGAGAAGTATAGCTGTAGACATGTTCTCACCGCATGAGTGAAGCCTTTTACTCGATTTTTTTCTTGCTAAGCAGGTCTGGTAAACAGCAGAGCGTTGCTCGTATGTTTTCTCCGATGCAGCTCCCACAAACTGCAATTTCTGTGAGGAACCGACGGCACCTGTTTTTATTTGTTTATTTTGAGAAAAGGAGCTATTAAATATTAATGTGGAGTCTTCAACATTCCAAATGGATCAGTAAAAGGGAAAAACAATCCACCACAACCACCCCCCTCCCACCCCCACAGCCAACTTTCTCTTAAAGCAAAGCTGATGTGTGAGCGTGATGCAGACATGAAAGGCAGCTTCAGAGTCCCAGGGGCGAGGGGAAGAGACGGGAGAGGGGGTTTGATGGCACGGCACCAGACAGACTGAATGACATTGGCAGAATGGCTGCAGCTGACAATCTGGGGAACGAGGCCAATGCAGAGGCTTCTGTGCTCTTAATCTCTGCTACTTGATATGATTATAGTCACCCCTGATTAGATTCTTTCTCACTTTGCTCTGTTATGGGCAAATAGAGAATGAATTTCTTAACAGCTGTAGTCAAATTTGAACAAAGAAACAATAAACAAACGTGATCGATATGCCTGAACAGCACCGGATCGCTGCTTACAGAGTCTGGAAAATGCAGTTGCATGAAACTGAATATATTACTTTCAGTGTAATCCAAATAGGTAAAGGTGAATGTCCTTTCCACAAAAGAGTATAAGATCACGCCAGGAACACCTACATTCAGAAATGCGAATGCAAATAAAGACACTTATTATGGAAATAAATCAATGTATTTATTAGAGAAAGTGAAGGACACAACCACATCAACGGAACCAAAGGAGGCCCATTATATATATATATATATATGTATGTATATATATATATATATATATATATATATATATATATATATTGTGTGTGTGTGTGCTTGTGTATGTATTTTTTACATTTTTTTTTTACTTTGTTACTACAACATCTAAATCCCAGTTTTTAAAATATCTTCTCCAGGGACAATATACCACAGAGGTTATTACCACAAAGGTCTCAGTCATAGGAATCAGATCACAAGTTAATCGATGAAAGTGTATGTTTTTTTTGAGCTGGTTGACTGAGGCAGTGTTTATTTCCTGTATTCCATCCATTAACAAGAACAGCTTCATACTGAGATATTTGGTCTGTATGTGTGTAAAAACATAACAGAGGAGGTACAGACAGGGTGTGGTGGTAATTAGGAATGGAGAATGCCGTCAGTATCTTTACTGAGACAAGTAACACTCTCAGATGTGCCACCCAATAGAATATGACTTTGTCATCAAGTTGAATTTAGCATTCAGTACGGTTTTGCTGTTTTTGAAGCTCTTCAGTGAAGTGCGGTGATGTGTGTAGAATGATCTAGAATAGTCAAGCACCTAAAGCTGGTTAATACAGTGTTATTTTCCATGCCATGATAGCAAATAAAATGGAGAGCATAAATAATAGACACAATAGTATATTTCACATACTTGACACACATCTATAATGAAAAAAATAATAATTTCACTAGAACTATAGCATATTAACTGTTTGTTTGTGATATCAAATTTTGCCTTTATTATATTTTTTCATTCATTATGCTAAACTTTTGTATTTCCGTGTCAGTACAGGTCTTTTCGTGAAAAGTACCTATTTAAATTTTAAGCATATTTTAGTTTATACAGCAGGGGGCAGCAGAGGGAGAGCTTATGACTGTAACCCACCTGTAATACTGCTCTGAATAGCCCTTTCTTCTTAGCCTGGAAAGCTACCACTGTTGGAGAATTCGAAGTATTACAAGGAGCCATTCAGAAACATTTTTGCATAGACATTACACAAAGTCATACTCATGCAAATATAAAAAAAAAATCTACGGTTATAACTGAAAAGCAAATTCATTTTACCAAGACCTGTCCAGTTGGATTCAATGTTGAATTCTTAAATATGACAACAATGTGGCCACACCCTCTGGTTTCACAGAAAGGCATCCACCAGAAAACCGAATTATGATGCCAGGAGTTGATTACTGAGAAGCAACAGTGCCTCTGAACACATGCCATTTAAAATACACTATTTACTGCTGCTGCTGAATCAGGAGGCTTCAACACGGCGTGTGTTACAAAAGTGGGCAAAACCTATCAACAGGAAACACACTCACTTTCAAAATGAAGCTCACAATTAAATACCCGATGGGCTGGGAACCATGTTCCATGGAAAAATGGCTAAAACTGACAGTCAGATGAGAGTGCACATCCGTTCAGTCACTCATTATTATTATTATAAAAGAAAAATAAAAAATAAATTAAATAAATTAAACACACATTTCAAACGAATGCAAGGGAGAAACCTTAAACACTATAGGGCAAGAACATTCCATCATTTAAAAAAAGTTTTACATGAAATTCCACTGAGCACCAGCTGCCATTTTGTCATTTACAAATTCATCACAGGAAAAAAACGTCTTTGTTACCAACATAGAGGAGCAGAGGATCAATGGACGGGCTGCTGACGAAACACGAAGATGTCGAGACTGCGTAAATGTGTCAGCCTGCTTCTAGGTTATCCTCTGTGGTTAAAGACAGACCAAAGCTACTTCAACAAAAGTCACCCTCTGTTCTACCTGGCTATATGAAGCAAGACCGCTGCACACAGAAGCTGACCTTCTCGTCCCTGGATGTTTTGGAAGAGCTGGGAGGCATGATGGGACATCAGCGTAAGCTGCCATCAGTAGGGCGCAAACTTCTGTCTCTCAGGTTTCTTGATCCCATTGGCAGAGGAAATTTTAGTGGTGAAAGAGGCCAGCGTGCCGTGGGCAGGAACAGGGGCAGGTGGGGCAGTCAGCGCCAGAAGGGGGACTGGCTTCACTCCCAGGAGGCTGGACAATGGGAGTGTATAAGGGGTTCCTAAGACTGGGGCGTGGGGCAGAGTGCCTATTGCTGCCAGAGCCGTGACAGGAGACGAGGCGGGGGGCGACTGCTGGGCGAAGCTCAGGTTAAGGTCAGCGGGGGTGGCCACAGAGGACTGGGCGGTGGACTTTGCAGTCTCTAAACTGAACATGAGGAAGAGAGAGGGAGAGGGGAACGCATGAAGGGGGGTAAGGGGATTAAAGGCGAACTACAACAGCAAACCCCCCATAAACATTGAGCAGCAATAAAAAACATATTGATGTATTTTGCATTCCTGATTCTTTATTGAATTTTCTGAATTTCATTCTCTACAATGTATTGTTGCCTTTTGGTAAATATAAGAGACTTCATGCTCATCCCACTCCCAAAAAAGGAGACAGACTGTGGCCTTCACAAAATAGTAGAATTCATTTTAAGCCGTATTTTTCAGTTGTATAGTAAGTTATTAGTTTTTTTTCCAAATATTTGATCATTTGATAGTCTGCTGTCCTGTTTCTCCAATGGTGGGCTTAGCTGAACAGGACATTTAATAACATCTTCAAAGTGTGAGCCTGTGTAATCGAGTGAAAAGATTAAAACCACTGTTAGAGTTGTGTGCTTGTAGTTGTTAAAATATATTTAGAACTTGGTATATATTTTTTTTTTTGGGGGGGGGGGGGGTCATTCCCCTTCTTCCCCCCTTTTCATTATTTGATGTTGAAACTATCAATATAATTTAAATAAATGGCTTGGCTATGACGTAATGACTTAACGACACATCGCTTTTAGAGCAGTGTGAAAGGCCACAGCCTGTCAGCCACCTTCTGCGCACGCTGCCATGTGCCAGTTCCATACGTTTAGAAGAATCACACCAGGTTAGGGTGAGAAGTGCTTGGGAGGAAAACTGGGTGAAAAGAGAGACAGGACAAGAACAATGGGCTTCCAGCACTGGGCTTGGAAGCCTAATCATTTGGGCACTAGAGAGCTAAGAATATCACCTAATAACAAATGATTTCAGTCAAAGCAGCATAAAACTTCATCGAAAATTTCCTTCTACTGTCCTGCTGAACTTCTGTAAATCCCTCATTGCTACTTGAATGCTACAGACGTGTCTTCTGCTCCATTTATCTTCTCACTACCCACTCAGCTGGTGACTATCTCAGGAGGACTAATTTGCCTGCATTTCTGCACTGATGAATGCAAAAATTCTGGGTCATAGTTAAATAATGTGCTTGTGAGCTGAGCACCTGCAAGCCTTTTTGCAGCACAAGGGGAGCTCAGTCTTACCAGGAGGTGATGAGATACTGTGCCAGGTTTATGCTGACTGTGGAGCCAGTAATGGTGACATGTCGGTCACTGGTGCTGTCCAGCTGACTCCCAATCTTTATCTGGGCCCCTGAAGCTTGGCGGATCTCATTGATCTTGGTACCCTGTCGGCCAATGACTGAGCCAATCAGCTATGACCAAAAAAAGGGACAAAATGTCTTAACTAAATACAACAATTAAAGTTGAATCATCGCTGAATATCTACATGATACAACTTCTCAGAATGCATATTTGAAAAGAAATACATGAAGAAAACACGAGTGAAGACATTGGAAACAAGACAAATTTTACACTGCAGCAAACATCCCCTGAGGTAACAGTATTACAGGAGAGCAAATGTGAAGGACAGCAAGCCCTTATTAAATAGGGAGCCTGGAGTGTGGATGCCAAGCAATGAGTCCCAGGAAATACATCAGAGTTCCAGACATTTAACCTTAGCCTGCAATTGCAGTAGGTAGTAGGTGGGACTGACTTTACATGCATCAGAAATGGGGATCTATCCCAGAAGGATGCATTACAGCTTCTTTGCAGGAGAACAATGACACGTCTTTCACTGATGAGCAAAAAGTGTTCATATTTATCACTGCTATTTCTTCAACACTGAAATCACACTGTGTGTGGAGGTTCATCTTCTCCTCATGTTGTCCCCCCACAATCCAAAGATAAGCAATTAAGCTAAATGATGTTTCTAAATTGCCCATAATGGACGATTGTATCTGTAAGTGTAAGCAACAATGTGTCCTGCGATGCACTGGCAATCCGTCGCGGGTGAAGCCCGGTCTTGTGCCCTGTGGTGCCTAGGATTAGCTTCAGCCCACCCCCCGACAACCTGGACTAGGACGTGCAGCTGGAAGATGGGTTGATTGATGGATGAACACCTGTTGTGAGGCTACATTGCACTGCGAGAGGTGGCACAGTGCAAAAGTAGAATAAACAATAAACTCTCAGAAGCCAAACACCACGGGGCTTGGAACAGCATCAAAATTCTGCCGCAAATATATAGTGGAACATATATCTGTGGATGTTAACATCTATACAGTGTTCCTGAGAAACAAATTACCAGTGACATGATACATTATATGGGTAAAAGTATTGGGACACACCTCTCAATCACTGAATTCAGCTGTTTCATTTGTACCCATTGCCACAGGTGTATAAAATCAAGCACCTAGCCATGGAATAAGGTTTACAAACATGGGTCATTCAGAAGAGCTTAGTGAATCTAAGCATGGTACTGCTTTTCTAAGCATGCCACCTTTGCACAACAAAACTCAGTCACGAAGTGGCAGACCACATAAATTAACACAGCGGGGTTGTCGAGTGCTGAGGCGCAGTGCATAAAAGTCTGTCGACTCTAACTGCAGAGTTACAAACTTCCTCTGGCATTAACCCCAGCATAGAAAACTGTGTGCCATGGAATGGCCTTCAATGGCTGAACAGCTGCATGCAAGCCTCATATCACCAAGCACGATGCCAAGCGCTGGATGGAGTAGTGTAATGCAGTGTTTGCTCTCTCCCAATTCCCTGGCAATTGTGAAAGAGCAAAAACGTGGACCGTCTGTGGGCCTGCAAGGACCGGGTTGAGAGATCCTGGTGTAATGCACACACCACTGGACTGAAGCAGTGGACACATGTTCTGTGGAGTGCCGAATCATACTTCGCTGTCTGGCTGTCTGATGGATGAGTTTGGGTTTGGCGGATGCCAGGAGAACATTATCTGCCTGACTGCATTGTGCCAACTGTCTAGTTTGGTGGAGGAGGGTTAATGGTATGGGGTTGTTTTTCAGGGGTTGGGCTGGGCCCCTTAGTTCCAGTGAAGGGAACTCTTAATGCTTCAGCATACCAAAACATTTTGGACAATTCTATGATTCCAACATTGTGGGAACAGTTTGGGGAAGACCCTTTGCTGTTCCAGCATGACTGTGCCCCAGTGCACAGAGCAAGGTCTGTGAAGACAAGGTTGGGTGAGTTTGGTGTGGAAGAACTTGACTGGCCCACACAGAGCCCTGACCTCAACCCCATCAAACATGCTTGGGTTTAACTAGAACGGAGATTGTGAGTCAGGCCTTCACATCCAATATCAGTGCCTGACTTCACAAATACTCTTCTGGATGAATGGGCAAAAATATCTACAGACACACTCCAAAATCTTGTGGAAAGCCTTCCAAGAAGAGTGGCAGCTGTTATATCTGCAAAGGGGGAACCCCGTCCATATTGATGCCTATGTGGTGCATCAGCAGGTGTACAATTAAATTTGCCAGTTACTAATGAAGTCCAGTTATCAAAAAACCCACTAAAACCACTTGATAAGCTATTAAATCTTATGTATAATCATGATCTAATATCAGCTGTTTCCTCTACTGGGATGGGAAAGTCCTCTTACATTTGTTACCCACTGTTTATTTAGCCGCATGCACCTTGTGTAGAGCATTTGGATGCCTTTAAGATACTCTGATGTGCAGAGGCTGTGTAATATTGCCGCGGATGAAATGCCTGCAAAGCCACTGGTTAGCTATTCTGGCCCAGATTAGCAACTGATCAGAGTTAGTACCAGAGGGGTCAACTGGGGGGCTATTGTCAGAGCAATGAATACGGAAGGCCTAGCATCAGAGCAATAAATACGGAAGGCCTAGCATCAGAGCAATGCTGCAAAGGGCAGTGCGAGCAGGCCGTGACAGTGACAAAGCATTGCCAGACTGGAGGTGTCGCCAGCCTGACCCCAGACCTCCCCCCGTGCTTCATAAACAGAGCATTCCTTTCCTCAGAAATCAGTGGCATGCACTATGGCAGACTGGCCTCTGTGATCCTGCAGGCTATCTTTGGCCCTGGACATTGCTTAAAGAGCACATGACTATTTAGAATGACCTCAGGAGGGCAGCACTGAGTAGCAAAGCATATCTCATGCCAGTCATCCCACTCATTCCCATACCAGGTACAAGCTGTACTGTCTCATGGTGCTGTGTACCTATATAGCAATTTAATTCTGTAATCTCAAAATAATTGTCATTTTTTTGGTATTTTTTTGCACAAATGTCTTGTTCCATATGCTTGGTTTCTGTATTTGGTTTTGCAGCAGAAGAAACTGCATGAAAACTGACCTATTTCTGGTTCCCGCTGCAGTTTCTCTTTGAAAGAGCTTGTGGGCCGTATGCATCATCACCCCTTCTTGATAAAGTGCCGCCCAAAAATTAACATTTAATGGAACTGTGCATGCTTTTCTCAACACTCTTCAGGCTTCCACGTCCAGTCATTTTTCCCGCAGCTGTGCTGCACAGGTTTCTGCTGCCTGTGTTTCGCATATTAAAAGCTACCTTCCCTGTGCTGAGGAAAGCACTTGCTGGGATATACCGCACAGCAATAGTGCTGATATCATGCATGGTGATGGTGATGTTGTAGAGATCCTTAAAAATGGTGACATGTCAATGTTGCCCATCAAGAGGCATTTCTGTAAGGGGTCATAAATCCTAACTCAGAGTGTCAGTGTGATTTGTTTAGTAGCATCACCTGATGCAGAGGGGCAAAATGGTGCAGTGTGAGCCATAAGTAAATTAAATATACTGGTCAATCAGGAATGCTCGTTCTCCCATATTATAATTGTTCTGTTTTCCTTTTAGGTGACAAGACAGGACTGTGTAACTGATCTGCTTTGTAAAAAGGAAGGGAAAAAAACAACATTACCTTCTTGGGAGCCAGTTTATTTTCAGCTCCGATCCAACTGCACCCAGAAAATGATCAGTTCTGACTAGAATGCTCTCCCAAAAGCTGATATCACCATGTCAGGTAAGAACACAACCTACGCTGACCAGTAGTTCTCATGTATTGTACAGTATGTGTAAGCCCAAATATAGATTCTTAAGTACTGTATTGTAGGGCTGGTCTAATAGCTTCTTCGACAGTCTTAAAGGGCACTTAAGAGACTAACATGGGCTGAGGTGTTCTTCTTCCATTTGCAAAGAAGAGCCAGCACAAGCTCACCAGGCTTCAAAATATTATGGCTTCTACAGTTTGTGTCTGAAAGCATTTAGTATCATTTCTGCCTCCACTTACATCATTGGGAATGAGTAGCTCTTGGGATGAGGTCTGGCAGTTGGACTCAATTCCTAATGGAAGAGTAAAAGAGTTCAAATAAAGCTTACTCTGCACTGAAAACCCAGGGAAACAGTCATTGTTAATACATCATTGTATACGTCTTTATCAGTGACATCATGTACTTGTTCGCTGTACAAAATGGAGCCACAGTCTTGACAGATCAGTCATTTTACTGCACATTCAATTCAGTGTTTTGAAAGAAAACCATAAACAATGGCAAACAATAAGGGGCTTGTTTTGTCCTGCACGCCTGACATATGACCTGACATGAATGTTTCATGCTTCTTGCATGCCTAAATATGTGGCTGCATTACTTACTAAAATAAAATACATTCTGTTGCGGGTTTTATACATCAGCATTAAATAACACCGCACGAATAATCTTTATTCTTATTTTATCTATAATTAATCTTTGTGAAAAATAACCCTTCCCATTAGAATAATGTGTGTAGACAAGGAACTGCGCATATTTATTAATATTTTATTACTTTATTGTGCAAAAATCTGAAATGGCTAGTGACAGAAGCAAAAAAAGCCTTCAAAACAAAGTCTTGATTCAGGCTCTGAATTGAACTTTCAAACCCACTGGCCCCCTTTTAAATGAATTTATCCATGAATAGTCAATTCATTGGCCATGAAACTTCACGGGTGACTTGAGAGCAGCCACAATATACCCCATACATTTCTTGCCTATCTCTAGAAACCTGCAACAGTTGAGCTGGATAGATGAATAAATCTTTATTTGTGTTTTTTATATAGCTTGAGAAAGAGACGAAAATTGGTAAAATTACACAACTCCAGTGTTGAAATCATTTATGTGTAAATGGAGAATTAACACAATTTGCTTAATCCTCTGTGTAAAATCCGAATTCCCATTTTAATCTCTTATGCCAACGATTATTCATTGAACAAACAAGCTAGTCAACACAATTATGGTAAAATAAACATAATCAGTGACACAGCTGGTTAGCCGCCTGCTACTTATCTCATATTGCATGGGTGGGTGTGTGCGTACCAGTTAGAGCAGGAGTGCCAGGCAGCCCCACTGCCCCGAGGTTTTGGTGCATGGATAGCTGGTGCAGTTTGGCCAGCTAAGAAACACAGTAGGAAAGTCACAAGTAAATGATCAATTTCAGCAATTCATGGGAGATGTTATAAGAGCAACACATCACTAATGAACACTACTAATGGCTAGAGCCATGTTCCTTACCTCAGAGTGTGGAATGCCATATTGGTTCTGCACAGTATAGGCCTGCGTGAAAAGGATGCTATTTATTAGATACAGCTGGTGTTCTGTGCATTTAGGTTCCTTACTTTTAATATAATTTATACATTCACATACATTCAATGCCACCCAATTTCCAGGTAGATATACAGTGTGTGTGTGTGTGTATATATATATAACTGTTTGTTCCACTGTTTCTTATTTCCAGTATTTTTGCATGTTGTTAACATTGATTTTGGTCAGATCTTTTCCTTGGGTGTAATAATAAATAAATTCTGAGAGAAAACACGACATTGATATTCCGCACTTTCATTTCTTTGCTGTGCAAGAAAATCAGACATCTACTAGTGTGGAGATTCGGGAGTTTCGCTCCCCAGTTAATCAAATGTGGTGAGAAGCCCGTGTTTATGTCTCAGAAGGACTTTGGAGAAAAGCAGCAAATGTGGAACCCCAGACAACTAAGAATAATAAAGTTGAAGCCAGCAGAAAAGCAGTTGTTGAGTATAAAGAGTGGCCACATAGTTGAGCAGTGACAGAGAACTCAACTGGGTGGTTGAAACATCTTTGTCCTGATTTTTACTTTCTGCACCTGAACTATCCACCTCTGATTATACTGGAGAAGCTGAAGCAAACTCACACTAGAACAGCTGAACAACAGCGGATTTAAATCAAATCAAAGAACAGACCTCACTGAGATGTAATTCCTAAAATTAGTAGCTCATGCTCGTAAACCCAAGAATGCCATTAAAATGAAGTATGGAGAAATTGGGAAAAAAGACCGATAAGCAACAAGGAGTACTGGGATGCGTTCACTGCTGTATATGTGACGTGAACAGTTATTGCATCTAAGGGAGTTATTAGATTCTCCACAGGAAGGAGCTTTGCGTTTTTTTTCCCTTCAGTCCACTTCCCTTCTATCCAATGTCCAGTTTGATTGGAAGATCTGATAACACTAACAATCAAAAATATGTACATTTGCAAAAACCCAGAGCAGGGCCGAATGCATTTCATGGTGCTGTGCATACTCACCATGTAACAGAATGGGCGTTACACTCGCGACAGAGTGCCGCCCCAGGACGAGGGCGTTACACACGCGGCAGAGTGCCGCCCCAGGACGAGGGCGTTACACACGCGATAGAGTGCCGCCCCAGGACGAGGGGGTTACACTCGCGGCAGAGTGCCGCCCCAGGACGTGGGCGTTACACACGCGGCAGAGTGCCGCCCCAGGACGAGGGCATTACACACGTGACAGAGTGCCGCCCCAGGACGTGGGCGTTACACTCGCGACAGAGTGCCGCCCCAGGACGTGGGCGTTACACTCGCGACAGAGTGCCGCCCCAGGACGTGGGCGTTACACACGCGGCAGAGTGCCGCCCCAGGACGTGGGCGTTACAATTGCGACAGAGTGCTGCCCCAGGACGAGGGCGTTACACACGTGTCAGAGTGCCGCCCCAGGATGAGGGCGTTACACACGTGACAGAGTGCCGCCCCAGGATGAGGGCGTTACACACGCGGCCGAGTGCTGCCCCAGGTCGAGGGTATTAGACACGCGGCAGAATGTCACCCCGGAAACAGAGTGTTACACATGCGGCTGAGTGTTGCCCCAGGACGTGGGCATTACACACGCGGCAGAGTGCCACCCTGGGACGCGTCTCCCTTTAATGATAGCTGTAGCATTCTGGGTATTATGAGATGATAAATGGTCCCCAGACCCAAGAATTAGTCCACGTGTCGCTCATGAGTAAGAGCTGACACTCTCATCTGTATGTGGAGTGCGCTTTACCTTTTGCCCCAAAGCATCAACATGAAAAGTCATCTGCGGGCTACCTTGCTGTCTCATTGGCTGGGGAAATGGAGGACAGAAGTCATGCCCAGCTAATACCTACTTGCTGTAAGTCGACTGCACCTTGGGTCAGAGAATACAGTGGATGCGATCCAAACTCGGAAGCCTACAGAACCGTGGAACAATAGAAGCCATGACTTTACTTTAAGTATTGAGTTATCTGATGTTAAAGTCATATTTTAATGTCAAGACATTCACTGTAACATTAAATTACTTCCAAGACAGTTTTATATTTTTAAATTAAATCATAAGTGAAAAAATGGTCAGAATTTAATACTGCCACAATATTTCTTCACACATCACACTGACAGTACAATAGGGAGACATAAGACTATAAGTTGCCCTTCAGATACTGTTTTTGCAATCGCACCTGATTCCTGGCAAGGAGCACGGCTCCTGGGGTCGGGCCCGGCCAGTACGGAATGGTAGCACCCTTCGGTGGTGACTGTAGTACCAAAACATGGTTAGGCCGATTAAAACACAAATACACATATATTTTTGTCAGTAAGGCGCTGCAGAGAAACAAGCAATTACAGCACATCCAGGAGTAAAAGTATATTGGATGACAGACTTTAACAACCACATATATCACAGCTATAAATTGGGAATGCAAATTGATTAAAGGCTCATATTTAACATGCTGGAAATAAAATAATACTCCTCTAATATTAATGGAGGGAGCTTGGCTTTTTAACAATGAATGGATTCCTGTGTGAGCAGCCTCTCTGTATCGCTGAGGCCCCATTGAATGTACAGGCAGGTAGCTGTACCTCGGGGCGATGAAGCCTAATGAAGCCTAATGAAGCCTAATGAAGCCCTCTCCAACCTTTAACTTAGACCCTGGCAAATCGGAGCAAACAAGGCACTGGATATGAAGCACAAGAGTCCTCATTAATCTTATTTAAGTATTGATATATATTAAATATAGAAAACATTTCTCAGTGACAAGCATTAGAAAACTATTGCTTTTGGCATAGAATACGGAGGCTTTATCCTGGTCTGAAGTGGCACCTCAGAATTGAGATGGTGTGACTTTTTCAGGGATGGATGTGGCCTGAAGTGGAGGCGGGTACCTCAAGAATGACTGTGCAGATCAGTCTGACGCACTGGATGACGGCATCTTGGGTTCCAGATACCGTCACTCCGCGTTCTGTTGAGTTGGGCAGCAAGTCACCTGCAACCTGTATTTGGGCCCCGGTGCTCTGTCAGCAACAAAGGTGGAAGAAAGGAAGCTCTCCATTTGTCAACAGCACTTAAAATAGGACAACTTATTTCAGAACTTTTACCCAAACAGGCATTTTCAGCAAACACCAAAGCTTCTCACCTCTCTTATCTCCTTGATCTTTGAACCGCCTTTGCCAATGAGCGAGCCACACTGGCTTGTGGGAATGACCAATCGGAGAGTGACTGGAGGTCTGCTGGCCACCGTGCCACTGTTTACTAGCGACGTGAGGTCCTGTGAAGGGGGGAAGGAGAAGACAATGGCTCAAAGCCTGGTTTGTTTTTAGAAGCAGTAGCGAAGCAACCTGAATATCTGCAGGTTCAGATCTCGCTTTCTGTTGTTTTCTCAAGGAAGAAATTGTGGTCCCTGTTTATTGATCTGAGTAAAACTGTCTGCTAAATATTTAAAGGAACAAAACACTAAAAGCCCTAAAAGCTTCTTAATGACATTTTTCTGAATCTTCTGCAAAAAGCTGATTGATTAATTGTCCTCTTAAAGGCCACTGCTGATGGAACAGGCATCCCTTTGATTCGTATGAATATTCTGGACTTGTTGGCCCTTAACATAATGTAAGTTTCGTGAGTAGAAACTCATTTCATTAACGAAGAAGAATAAAGTGCAAACATGGGCACCAATGGGGGTGGCAGGATGATCCCAAGGGCCCCTGTGGCCCTAAAAAAATTGGAATATGATTGGATTGGTCTGGGATGGGGGGCCAATATGATGTGCTTTCATGGGGCCCAAAATCTCTGGTGGTGCCACTGAGTGCCACCTATGCAAAGATTCGCAGAATCTTCTGAAAATATGATCCTACCACATACAGTATAGTCCACAGAAAACTTTACGTTCATTACAGTGGAAAATTTCAATGAATGTTGATACACAGTAGAAATATCTTGCAGGAATTAAACACTAATTACAGTTTTCCCTTCACTGCAGATTGCAGGCCACAATCTTTGTATTCTTCTCATTCGTAAATAGGAGGTACTTATTTTTGCATTTAGTGGAGAATGAAATCAGCTGTGGCTAGGATGTATGCGTTGTAAACATGCTGGAGAAAGTATTGAACTGCCTGTAGTTCATAAAGAATGAGTATTATTAAAAGTGACATTAAACAGGAGAACATGCTGCAGGGTTTTTTGCAAATCTCATCAGTATGAAATACTACTTAAAGTAACATTTGGCTAAAACCTACATAGAATGTCTTATTAAGTATTTTAGCACACAAAATATGGTGCTCAGTGCAGGTAATATCATGGGCCAGGCTAACAGTTACCATAAGAACCCCCCCCCAAAAAAATGAAATACCTGAAATACCCAACTTTCTTACAGTGAAACCAATAGGAGATGCTCTAAATCACGTCTGCAACCCCAGTTCTAAGATGTGTCCCAGTGCAAATCCAAACATGATACCTCCTCCAGCTTTAGCGTGATCATGGCGAAGGCTCTGAGGACGCACTCCGTGGGACCAGTGATGGTGACGATCCTCTCAGGACAGCTTCCCTCTGAGATGTTCACACGTGCGCTGCTCTGTGAAAACCACAGCGACAGGCTGTCACACTGTCTACATTTTAATAACCTAACTTACTTTGTGTTGTGGCACATTCACCTGAAAGAAATAAAAATGCTCAACTACCCATGGAGTTATTAATGCAGGCAAAGGTAAGATTCACAGCACTTGGTAATTGTTAATGAACTCTTGGTCATTCATCCACCTTGACAAAAACAGTGAGTGAGATATTTACATACATAAACCTTCATATTCATGCACTTTAAAACACACAGAAATATCGCATAACAGCAGACATTAAGAGTGTCGCTCTCTAGGCCCCATGGGAGAGGTACAGGGAGAGCAGAAGGGCATCATAAATATGGAACACGGCTTACCTCTTCTCGTATTCTTTTCACCGTCTCTCCTTTCTGGGAAAGAAAATAATTGCTGTGTGTTAAAAGTACTTTGTTTGAAACAGCATTTCATCCATAGAATAAAAGAGCTTAAATTAAGCTTAGATTTCCCGTGTGAACGGCAGCCCTGCTCTGTTAAGCGGCTCTATGTCTTGGGCACGCATGGTACCGTTAGGACTCCTTTTATGAGGAAGGATAAAAGAGGGTGCCTGAAATCAACAGCTTGTAATTCCCTCCAGTGTGCTGCTTCATTTTACAGACCTGGAAAAATCTTCTGCTCTGCTGCATGATAGACTCGTGTGTGTTTCAGCAATGAGCCATAACTCTAGTCTTACAGTGGCCTGCTTTGACATCACTGCTCTCGTTATATAGTTTCGACCAAGGCTTCTATAAAGCAAGTAAACTAGTCTTATGTGCCAAGCAGTCAGAGGATTGAGTGAGCCTTCTCCTTCACGCCTTCCTTTCCTTCACTGAAGAGGTGTTCTATATTTACACCCACGCCTGCAGTATTGTTGTACTGTTATCTAATACCTGTCTGAGTATAGGGAGTGTTGGGATGTTTTTGGTGCCAAAGCTTTCCTCTCTGTTCCTGGCTTTGGAGGCAAGACTTTCTTGGTTCAGACAGAGGTCAGATTGCACATGTGAAAAAGACCCACTTGCTCACACTAGGAAAAATCTGCTGGTATCAGCGGGTAGTGACCCTGCTGTTAGCAATCCTGCTGGTGGGATCACGATATGCTTATTTAAACTCTTCACGCTTAGGGGATCCACACAGGGGGTTTTCACCTGCCCTCACTGGGATGTCTGCTTATCTGCTTTAGAAAGAAGCGTAAAATCACATTTATAAGAGACATTCAATAGGTAGCAAGTAGGTTACACCCAGTCCCTCCGGAGGTCATCTGCAGTAACAATGAACTCCACAGACAGCTCATCTGCATTGCAAAGACCTGCTGCACTTTGGCATTAACATAGCCTTACTAGAAGAGTGCTTTCTGCCTGATTACTGCCTTGAGGTAACACATATCTTTGATTTTACAACTTAAAAAGGTTTATTGCCAATGCTTGTTTGCAGGAAAGTTTCTGAACAGGATAGTGCTTTGGTTTCTGGAGACAGCATCAGTAGAGAGGGCAGCTTTATGAGAAGACACTGAATGATTGTGCAAGCGAGGAGAGTAGCTCCGCAGATGAACACAAACCCTTCGGAATGACCTTAGAGTATCTTGCAGCCTTTGTTTTGCGTGTTGATTTTTTTGTGGATCGCCTGGATTTTATGCTGTAATACCTCCCTAGACTAATACCAAACATGGATAATAATAATAAATAATATTTAAGAACACAAAAGTACCATCATGCACCACTGAAGTCTATGTGGTTTATACTGAGGGTGACAGCCTCTAAGACTGACTGCCATAGATAAGTCAATAAGACCCACAAATGCGCCATTAAAACACAAGGCAACTACTCAGGCACACAACTGGAGGTGGCAATTGCTTGCAGAAGTGAAGGAGTGTTGCTTACCTTTCCTATAATACTGCCAACTTCCTGCGAAGATTAGAAAAATAAAAGAAACAAAGTTAATGTACTTTTCCATCACTACCATGCGATTGGAATTCTTGACTCTCAAAAATCCTGCAATCACTGCACCATACAGCATATTCAGAACAAATAACTTACGTACTGATATAACTACATACATCAGTAACTGGAGGCTGTTAGATGTCATATTTCAAGGATTCTGTTTCCCTTGAGAAACTTAAAAAATCATCCTGGCAAACGGTACCATTTGTACATATAGCAAACTTCACGATCCTTCTTTTTTTTAAGGGTCTTCCATAGGTACACATGCAAACCAGGCAGCTCCCGCTTCCACATGAACGTGTGGGTGCGCGGATCACTCTGTGACTTTACGAGCTCCCAGTCAGGCCTACCTTTCCATGCATGAGCAGCCATAGTGTGAGGGTCACAGGCCTACCTTTCCATGCATGAGCAGCCGTAGTGTGAGGGTCACAGGCCTACCTTTCCATGCATGAGCAGCCGTAGTGTGNGGGTCACAGGCCTACCTTTCCATGCATGAGCAGCCGTAGTGTGAGGGTCACAGGCCTACCTTTCCATGCATGAGCAGCCGTAGTGTGAGGGTCACGTTCATGCTGCCCTCCCCGGAGTCTTGCTCACTGTTCATTGTGGAGAGACAGTCTGACACAGGGAGACGCATTAAAAACGCCGGACAGCAGGCCAAACTCCAGGGGCACGGCAGGCGGTTTCCCTTCACTGCTTGTTCTGGAGACAGAGCACAGCGAAGCCAGGCTCAGACCATGTGGATTTCCCCACATTCTAACACATTAGCTCTGCATGCAACTCAGCTGACATTTGCGCATCGATTCTGAGAGGTTCTGTCATGTTTTATATGGCTGCCCAGTGGCATAATGTGGCCTATAGTCAGAAATGCGCCATAGATGTGCAGCTGCGCAGCTACGAGCCTCCTGGCTGCTCATACTACGCACTGGATGCCATTCGGATCACTATGTCATCATTCGTATTCATGAATCAGCACAGAAAAATCCATGTTTTTGTTATTTTAGGCACAATTCTAAGAATGAGGTCAGGACAAGAGACATTTTGTGGTATTTAAGGATGTTATCTGACATGATACCTCCTAAAGCAGTGAATAAGCAAGCACTGCATCGTCACATAAAGGTTTAGTCACATCAACTGAACCACCTTTGCAGGAGGTTGACCTGATGACCATGCATTAAGAACGTCTGCGCGGCTCACGGCGACAAAAGAGAAAAGGAAACAATGGAAGCTAACGCCAGAGGAGTATGACCAGAATGGAGCAGACTTCATAGAAGCAACAATATGAAGTGGCATGCTGATCCAGATCCAGTGCAAGGTCACTGTCACACTGTGGCCTGGCAGCTGCAGCAGTAGGATTCATACGCTGCAACGTTACGTAGAGCATGCAACACTATTTACTTCTGCTAATAAACCTGCATGCTCGTATAGATTTAAGGCATACATGACAGTGTACTGACCATCGTATTTCATCTCTAGCACACAGGATTTATTGTTAAAGGTGCTCGGTAATACACAGCTTACACAGGTGTCATAAATCCCCAGTTTCTGTATCAGCACACAAACAAGGCCAGTGCCTCCTGGTGTCACTTCTCTAAATGGCTAAATGGAGGGGCTGTTACATATGTTACTAGGTGTGGGCAGTCAAACTGAGAACAAGGAGGCACATATTTTTCCATGCCGAAGGTGTTGTGTTATCCACATAACTCTCGATTTTGTACAGAGAAAAAAAAAACAAGCAGTCAAATATCAGGCAGAGCCTACTGAAGAAGGCAGATTTTGCTGAATTTTAACATGTAAAATGTGATGAGGACTAGAATGCTGTCAGGGGTGTACCTCAGTTTTGTGGAATAGGCTCCACCCCCAACCCCCCAACCCTGATATCAGGTTAGTCAGAAGAATGACGGATGGAAAATGTGAAAAGCTGATCAGTTACATTTCCATCAAAGTGCTGCACCAGGAAAGTTTGGTTCTCGAAACTCTAGTATCTAATTGCCTGATTTATGAATAAGAGCAAAGTGTGGCTTCCCCTCCAACCAATTACACACAAGAATCAGGAAGTACGATACAGCGAAACCAGAGCACTAGCAGGCTGGTCCCCTGAGCTACAGGATTTTATAGGAAGATTAATCTCCCGGGTTCAGGGAGTGAGACTTGTGAGGTAAATGTAGACATACTGCACATCTAGCTGGTGTATTTTTTTGCAACAAATAAGTCTTTGCCAGCCCCGTTGGTCTAGTCTGTTCAACATACTGTATGAAAGAACACTGAGCTAAAATGTGGACTACAAATATACAGACATTTTGTCTTTATACTGTAGGTCTCAATGGTGATGTAAAAATAACATACAGAAATAGCAGAATTATACACACGTTACATCAATATCACCAACAATCTTATATTACCAGCAGTGAAGTCACATCACTGGCTGTCTTCATGTGTAATCATCTGCAGAAACATCCAGGCAGCATTTGCAACATGAGCAGGTGCTAGGATTATCAGATTAATACAACAGGGCCACAAAAAACAAAAATATATTTTACTTACACTAAAGTACAAGGCAATTCTTCCAAATAAAGACTAACAGCAAAAAATTCATTACTATGCTCTATAGAGGCCTAACTCTGTCATATATGGAAGATAACGTGAGTTTTTGTTTCATAACTGCTTGATAGTTTGGCCTTGAAATTGTAATGAATGCGAGTTTGGTTCAGTGAAATGCGGAGAGAATGATCTGAATTTTGTAAACAGGCTGTGGTTTAGCATCATCTGAAGTAGCGCTGGCTGGCTGGGACGTCGGCGGGGGGGGCGGCAGTAGCCTAAACTTGCGCAGAATCCGAAGTATGAAAGTTCCACAAAAGGAACAGAGGAGCTCTGTGAAGCTTTGCCGCCTGAATTAGCATTCTGACCACAGGATGGGAACTTACTGGGGCACAAGTGACCTGCTTCATACTTGGACTCATTCAGCCTCGTGGTTAACTTGGGAGTAAAACAGCAAAAATACTAATTGTACCCTCTGTACCTTCTTCCTGCACCTATACAACCAGTGAAATCCACTGTTCTCACTTTTTGGATAAATATCATTATTCTTGTACACATTGAATAAACTAAATCCCTCATGCATTATTTCCCTCAGATACACATTCATTTTTGTTTCGGCCTTTCATTTTTTAGTTCTTTTTTTTTTTTATTAGGTACAGAGGCTTGTTTGATTCACCTGCCAAATTCCTCTGAATATAATTTCTTTGCTGATTTAAATTTAAAATCCAGTGCTTGGTGTGCAAGTTAAGCTGGCAGGAACAGCAACCTGGAGTCAGACGCAGTCTCTGTGAACCTGGAGACAGGTGTGGTATCAGACCCTCGTTGTAAGAGCCGCCTTCCGGGCCAGTGCACTGCTGCTCTGCACCACACTGGCTATGGAGAGCGCCCCCTGCTGGCCTTATTGGCTCCCCAGTTGCACCTAATATCTGAAGGAGAAAACAACCCCCCCAGAAAGGACTTTTCTAAAATAATGGTGTTTCCTTTCCTTCTTTTCTGCTGTTCTTAAATCTAGATTCTCATATACATTATATAGCCTTTTCCCCTCCTGCTTCCATCCCATCCGAACTCCCCAGAAATTTCTGTGCCCAGCAAATCACCCCAGTAATCACCATAGTGCCTAACCAACAGCACAAATCACACACGGCATTATGCTACCCCGGAGCAGTGCACTGATGTGGAGGGTACGTTTCAGGTGGTTCGGGGTAATCCTGCTGCAACAGGAAGAAGCAATCTGGCCTGTGTGTGAGAAGTTCTCAGCTGTTAGGAGAGGACCAGCTGGATGGAGTGTCCTGGGAAAGAGTCACAGCAAGCCCCCTGCCTCATGTGACATCCAGGGTCAATTTCTGCTGGACAGGATGTGTGATAACTCAGGGTTGGCGATAATTAAATCTATTCCGAGCCTCATGGAACACGGGAATGACAGGAAAAAGAAAAATCCTCATTGTAACACTTTGCTGCAACTGTCTCCTTAACAGGAGGGATAAGTCTCTGCTTTAGGGCGAAACAATGAAGAGTGCAGGCACTGCTTAACCAGCAGGAGCAGTCAGAACCACTCCGGGTTTAATGGGCATCGCAGCTGAGCTGCTGGGCTCTAATGAGATCTACAGGGACCTATGCCTCCCATTTCCTACAAGAAGCCTCGCGCTTTATCCAGCAGCCCAATCCTGGCTGCATAGATTGTTTGTAAAGCCAAGTCAAAAGAGACCTGCTTGAAATTAGCACTGAAAAGGAAGATAATTAAAAATAATGACAAACCTAGTTAGGGTTAATCACATATTACCCTCGCATTAGGCATGACGAGGTCGTATAGGCTGTACATGTATTTAATAAGAAATAAACTCAGCATGTTTGGAAAAATGACTAATACTTTACTATTTGTGTAATGGTTTCAAACTTCAATTTGTGATGCACAGATTATTAATTTACAATAAAAATACTACTAATAAGCAAGTACAAGCTGAATTTCATTGCCTATCACATGTACATACTGTATACAGACGCTCCTCTACTTACGAACTTTCAACTTACGAACTTTCAGACATACGAACGAAGAGGAGTGTAAGTACAAATTGTGTTCATTGGGCTCCCGTTTTCCTGTCCGCAACATCAATTTTTTTTCTGCGCGCCAATTCCGCCTAGTACGACTTCTGGCTGCTACTCCCACCTTTAAGCAGCGTAGCGTGCAAACTCCCAGCATCCTACTTCTTTGTACCTGCGTATACCCTTAAAATGACGTTGAATAACAATTTACAAACATTTCAAGTTACAAACGGCCATTAGGAACGAAACTCATTCGTAAGTAGAGGAGCGTCTGTAATCGCCAGTACTCAATAGACAGATCAACAGTATTTAATTACGATTGTGTGATCTTAAAACTAAAGCCTATTTGATAAATGGCTCTAAAATAGGACAACTTATTAGCTTATTAGCTTTCAGTACATATGCTTCCGTCTAGCATTTTTTTAAAGTTAAATAAACCAATCATCTTCCCTGTGCGATGCTCACTGAATGTTTTGAGTTTAACTTGGAATTCTGGGCTTCGGTGCAACATCATAACTAAGTATCAGCTGAGCTTATAAGCTTGTCTCAGAATGCTCTAGGCTCTCAGGTATATCTGTTTTAAACATGCTGCTAGGAGCAGTATAAGACTGTTTGTGCATTGGCGCATGCCTGCATGAATGCTCACATACACATTTAATTAACACTTTCCTCTACAGCAAAGCAACTGTTTTTTTAGCCTAATTTTGCTGACAACTTTGTCAGGTAGATCAAATTAAATAAAGAAGAGGAAGGAAAGAGGCAGCCCAGTTCTACTTGAATGATCTTACTGTATGTGAAATAAATGATTGTATTCATCACTTGTTTGCAATGCTGAAGAAATGACAGTGAAACTTCTGCACTCCAGCTAGTCATATTATTAACAGCAATAGTTATGAGAAAATCTTACCAAGCCCCACATGCCACACAGCTAAATATTCTGTCATTGTCTTACGGACAAATGTTACCTTCCTTCAGTGCATCTGCTTTGCTAGTTGCTACTATCATGGGCTTAGCTTTGAATCATTAAAGGTGCCACAGAATGAAAATTTGACTTTACCTCGGCATAGTTGAATAAGGAGAGTCCGGTACAATGAACTGATATACCCTGAATCTCAAATACTCTT